CAATAATAGCATTCTACATGGGGTTAAACATTGATTTTCCATCAAATATCACATTTCTACAGAGTATAACTCTAGGCTCATAAGGTGACCAGACTCGGTATCCCATAAATCCATCCCCAAAACCTACAAAAAATACCCTTCTTAGCTCTTGGATTTAATTACCCTCATCCACATGATAGTAAACAGGACAACCAAAAACTTCTACTAAAGAGTAATCAATAGTCTTACCATACCACACCTCATAAAGAGTTTGACACTCGATATCTGTGTGAGGTCTGCGGTTTATAAGATAGCATGCCATGTTCACTGCCTCTGTCCATAACCTTCTCTCTAGTCTGGCATTAGAGAACATGCACCTTTTTGCCTCTGATTTTTTTTTTTATTCTTTTGATATGCAACGCCATTTTGTTGCGGAGTGTCTTTAACAGTCTGATGATGGGTAATACCTTCATCCCTTCAGACTCCGTTGAACTACAAAACTACAAAAATCTTGTCCACGCAAACCTTGAGTAATTATTGAAAGAAAAAAATTAATTATGAATTTTATGTTCTCATGTAAATATTGGTCTTGAATTGTTTTTATCACCCTCCCTTTTGTTCCCTTTCTTTGAATCTCATCCATCAAATAGAGTCATTCATAAATTTCCCGGTCTTATTATATTGGGCAAACCAATGAAGACAGAAGAGATACAAAGTGCCGGCAAACTCACAACACTAATCAACGATAATCACACATTCACATCAAACATTTAATCCTGGTTATAACAACATTTGACCCAACTCTAGCGTCTTTGTACATATATAAATATAACTAACTAACCTGCAGCGGTCTAGTTATGTTCAACCTTAATTATCTTGTGTTCATCAATCGAAATTTTGAACAATATATAACTTGTGCCTTTGTGCTTTAAAATAGTAACATAATCTTTTTAATTGCACTGCACAACTTATTCCTTGTGATCATAAAAAATTTATTTGTAATATCATAAATAAGCTAAATCCAGAGTATAGATAATGAATGTATTTATAGATCAGCATGACCATTGTGTAGATACAAAGTGGGCTGTTTATCAAATCTAACATAGTATCCCTGCTTTATTCCTTTCTTTAACTCCTTTTGATGGATTATTCTCCATTTCTCTAATCTATTTGATTTTCATAATCGCAATCCGATTCCTATGAATTCTTGACCTAATTAAATAAGAAATAAAAGAAGGTTCAGAAGACTATAAGCTAGGGTTTGGAGCGTCCGTGGGAAGAAAGAAAATCTGAAAAAGACTTGGGTGGGGCCGGACCGCTGTTGCTACCATCAACTAATAACAACAACTTGCCCCCATCCACCCGCTTGCTTGCACCTAATCAATGAAAACGATTTGTCCCATTAATTAAAAACCCTAAATGACGATATCAAAAGCTTAATTATTGTGAACACACATCACTAGGGTTTATTTGTTTTTGATCCAAGGGAGGCTATGGAAAAGAAAAAGAGAAGGGAATAACAAAGAATCGGTAGGTGGTTGCACAAGCTCGTCTTAGAACTCGAAAAGGATAGATTAGATCGTATTTCGAGAGTCCGTGTTGCAATCAATTTTTTTAATCCACTTTGCAGTAAGCGAGGATGAGTATATGTGTTCACCAGTTACTGTTCCAAAAAATTATTCAAGCGCTTTTTTGACTTACTAGCGAGATTAGTAGATGATGTAATTCTTAATGAGAATTTAGTTATGAGTATTGCTTTTGTCGATTTGACAGGTCATTTCTAAATGAACGCTATCCAACTATACTTTGTTTATGGTGGTTAAGTTTTCCCCTCTCTCTGTCAAATTTTTATAATAACCCTAACATATTTGGCCAAAAGAGGTTTGATATGGTAATGGTGGACGTGGTATCATGATTGAACAAGCTCAAAAAGCCTCCAATTAAAAACTGTCCTAATTATAACTCCATCTTAATTTGTTCGGATAGCCAGCCAGCCCGCCACCATTAACACGTTTAGTTACGCTACACGAAATACATATTATACGAAACTTAATTTCCGTTGATTAATTAAGTGAGATGTTGTTATTATCATTATCATAGTAATTAAACACATAACCCTAGCTAGCTAATACAACCACATTATAAGCAAAAAAAATAAAAAAAACCGTTGTTCGTCACTCTCGTCCGCCTTTGCTTGAACACCCCACTCCCCCTCTTTCTTGGATTAATGGTTTAAAATTGGATCAATTAATAAAACAAAAATATTATTTAAATATTACTTGAGTAATTTCGTTACGATTTATTTATTAATATGGTCGAGATTCCCAAGACTAATTTGTCGTTAATTTGGTAGGACAAACTCCATAACGACGGCCAAAATTCACAAAGCGGGGAAAATATTTATTGTGTGTGTATAGTCGCATAAACAATGAACTTGTTTTTATTTAGAAGTATTTTGGCAAAAGAACAATTTACTAGTCACTTCCAAGAATAGTTGATTTACCTGTAACCTTAAGTGCATGATGTTTTCTTCTGGGAAAGGTGGTATAATTACAATATGGCCCAAAATCATATGGAATTTGACAATTTAATATTGATGAGTGTACAGAAAATGGTGAAGATTGTTTAGAGGGCGCGATGATATGATTTTTTTTTAATATTTACTACATTCTAATTTCGAATATGGATTAAGTCTATGTCAAATCAAAATGTAAGGCATCATGTTTTTGGTAAACAGATGTAAGAATCGTTATTTCGTACTTAGGGTATGACAGGTGTTCATTTTCACATTCCTTGACGATAAAATTTTCTAAATCACCTAAATTATTGTCAGGAATGAACTTAGGATATATAGCCTAAAAAAGACAACTATAATATTTGAGAAAATTTTCAGTTAGCTTGCTATTTTGATGAAAACACATCAAACTTTTCATTGCTTTTTTTATATAATAAAATGTATTCATCCAATACGAAAGGTTTATTATACAACATGAGCATCATTTTTTTTTTTTTTGCCAATAGAAACTCGTAACCACGAGAAGTTATAGTACGTCCCTAATGATCGAACCCACATACAAAAATCAAAAGAAACACACTCATTCAGATACAATGATAAAGCTTTCCTTATCACACTGTGGGCAGGTCCATTTAGACTCCTCTGTTTGCATAGCGACATTTGCACTAATAATTAGATTATTTCTCATAGTAAAGCACCTCTAGTCGCCTCTCATTCTTGTCCCGAATTTACCTTATGTGTAATTACTTGAACATCACCTTGAATCTCAATCTCTAGCATGCCCTCTGAATATTCTTTAGAATTTGATTGACGGGTATTGATGAAATTGAAGTTGACTTGATGATATATCCGTATATGAAACTCTCCAACTCTAATACGTTAGTAACCCATATATACGAAAAATGAACTAATCTAGTGATACTATCGTTAGTGTTCAACCTGGAGCTCTCAGATTCAGATATTTTAAGTAATCATCAACATTGAAAACAAACATGTATCATCATTATAATAAAATAAAAAATGGTACCCATATAAAAACGGCCATTCAATTTTTAACCCTAGTACTTTTGGTACTCCATATCTCATTTACTTAAAAATTAAACTATTATTATACACATGTATACATTTGAGCAATGGAAATAATTAAAATATTTGGAAAAAACCATACTTAATTTAAATGTTGCTAATCAATGAGAATCTTTTGACCCCATCACACTATCATAATTTTATATATTCCAAATCAAAAATTCAGAGCTCAGGGCATGGTATGGTGTGTATATTATATTCATCTTAAGATAAGACATTACATTAATTAATTGACTCTGCTTAACTAGATTTTGATCTCAAAACAGAAAATATTTTATCTTAGTTACGTTGGCTCAATATTTCTATTATTAATAAGCTAGCTAAGGATAACAAGCATCTTATTCACGCGGTACGAGTAGAAGGGGGGAATCTCGATGTCAATATCTAATTGACATTGTTATTAATTACTTTCTTAATCGTAATGGCCAACCTCTAATCTTTCTCTAAACAAATGAGCATCAAGGAACATGTATGTACACTAAGTTGATAATTAACAAAGAGCTAGCAAAAGATGATTTAAAACCCTTTAGTTTTCCCATTATTTCTTTTGAGAAACCTAACCACTTTTACAGTAATGGATGACAGTACCCGGCCAGATCCCCTATAAAGTTATTAATAATGTCAGAGGTTTTGCGTTTGAGTAATCTTAATAATGAAGTTTTTCTTTCGAAAGAGTGTTCATATATCCCAGTTTAATCGATGATGTGTAGTTGATCATTACATGGTGTGGCGCAGAAGTATTTGCAACGAAGGAGGAGATTCGGTACGAGCATATTGTATGATATGATTATGGATAAAAAAAAACTTAATGATACTAATATGAAACAAACAAATAAGTTCAGAATAGATGTGATAACATTGTGTATTATATTGTAAAATGAGCCTCTTGACTCTTGAGTACTTAAAACATCCAAAAACCAATTGTTTTCACCAGATGCAAAGGCAAAAGGATAGCAACAAAACCATATTAAACAAATGAAAAACCAAAACAAATGTTGTTAAAAACTTTTCAAAGCTTGTGTGTATTGTATTGGTGTGTATGAGAGAGGGAGAGAGTGACTGCATTTTCAAGTATTCTTTTGTCTCCTCTTGATTTCTTCCCTTTCTTTTCCCACTACTCTCTCCTTCTTCCTTCTCCCCCTTTTCCTCTACACTCCTCCCATGGCTTTCTTGAGCTCCCAACTTTCCCTTTCCTTATATTAAAAGTCTTCAACACATAGTTTATCAAACAATCCAATCCCCAAATAAACAATCTCAATAGCCCAAAAACAAAGGCAAGATATTCACTTCAATCTTGTTCTTGCCATCTCTTCTTTCCCACCCCTTAATTTTTATTTGGGTTATTAAAATCTTTCTTACCCTTTTAGTACTCCTCTTTTTTTTTAATCCTCAGCTTCAAGCTTTTGATGCTCTTGTCCTCATGGCCGGTCTGGATTTAGGCACAACTCCTCGTTTCATCCACCACCAGCTCCACCACCACCACCACACCCCCGATCTCCACCTCCAGAACCCTTCCTCCGCGGGGAACGATAGTCCCCACCATCAACACCATTACCTGCACGATCTGAATCGTGCAGGCGGTGCTGGTGCTGGAGACTACGGACTAGTCTTACAGGCTGGTGGTGGGGGTGGTGGTGGTCTGTCCTTCCTAACCGAGACCGACCACCACCACCAGCATCATCCTCGTCCCGACGACGAGGATGGCGGGGACGACGAGCCTCCACAGGGGAGCCACGGCGGCGGCGGCGGGGTGGCTACACGGAGGCCACGTGGCAGGCCGCCCGGGTCGAAGAACAAGCCGAAGCCGCCGGTGATCATCACGAGGGAGAGCGCCAACACCCTCCGGGCCCACATCCTCGAGGTCGGCAGCGGGTGCGACGTGTTCGAGTGCGTGGCCAGCTACGCCCGGCGGCGGCAGCGCGGGATCTGCGTGCTGAGCGGGGCCGGGACGGTGACGAACGTCAGCATCCGTCAGCCGGCGGCTGGACCGGCCGCGGAGGCGGGGATCGGGAAGCTCCACGGGACGTTCGAGATCCTGTCGCTGTCCGGGTCGTTCCTGCCGCCTCCGGCGCCTCCCGGAGCGACCAGCCTGGCGATCCTGCTGGCCGGAGGGCAGGGGCAGGTGGTCGGCGGGACGGTCGTCGGCGAGCTGATCGCTGCCGGTCCGGTCATCGTCATCGCCGCTTCTTTCACCAACGTGGCTTACGAGCGGCTGCCGTTGGAGGAGGAAGAGGAGGACGGTGGTGGAGCTGCTGCTGCTGCTGCGGCGGCGGCGGCAGGGTTGCCTTTCCTTAACTTGCCGGTGGAGGGATGGAGCGGCGGCGAGGGAAGAGCTCCGTATTGATGAATTTTATGTGTCTGTGTGTGTGTGAAAATTTGATCCAAAAAGGTCTCCTCTCATTCTTCTTCTTCTTCTTCTTCTTCTTCTTCTTCAAATTGTTAAGTGGTTGTGGTTTGTTTTGGTTAGGGTTTAGAGAATTTCTAATTCCTCTTTTTTGTTGAGTTCTTTAGTGTACTTCTTGTGAAGAAATTAATGTTAGTTGGGTTTCGATCGTTGAGATACTCTGATTCGGTACAATAAATAATTATCGTTGAATTTGTGATTTCGATCGAAACATCTGTGAAGGGTTTTACTTATAATTAGCAGCAGACGTATGGTTGCTGATATATGATGTATGGCTCTTTTTCAGGAACAGCTAGCTCAAGAAATGAACTAGCTAGCAAGCTAGGGTTTCTGGTTGCTGAGATTTACTTATAATTAGCAGCAGACTTTTAGGTTATGAATTATTATGGGCAGTCTGACTATGTATTACCATTAATTCATGTTTAGGGCTTTCCATGGGTTTTCAGGGAGAGAATAAATATTGGCAGATTTTAGGGAATTGATTGCCAAGCTCCCATGTTTCTGCATTTACACATGATCATGTGATGAGTTTCCATGCCCATCAATGTCCCTTGTCAAGAACCCAGATTAGATTTTGATACTGAGTAAACATAATTTCATACTCGATCCTTCCTCTCGCGTATAATATTGACTGGATTTTAGCTTCAGAGCGTTGATCTAGTGAGAATTGGATGGAAAAAAAATATGCGAGTTAGAATGTTAAGGAGAATATCACCGACGACAGTAAAAATGAAAAGACGGCAATTATATTTTTTTTAAGTAGTTTCCTTCCTCCCTTTTGATATAGGGATGGGGAGATAAATATACTGCTCTTGCTCTGTAGCAACTACATATTATTTGGATCAAAAGGTTATTACCTAGTTAATGAATAAAATTATATTGTACTTTTCATGGGAGGTTAGGTAGCTACTTTCAGGAATGATAATCATCAACAACAACAACAAAGGGTAGCTAAATTTTATGTTTGTTTAAGTCACATATATATATATATGTGTTTCAAATTAAGAATGATAACACGCATTTCATCTACTTTTGGTCTCATATATGCTCCAGTATTAATGTATACTTTGTTATATTCTAGTCCCAACAGAGATTCTATCTCTCATATTGGTACATCACATTTAAGAAAGTCTTTTTTTTTTATCCCAAGTAACTCTCACAAGTTATTAAAGAATGGGTTTGCAGGAAAAGGAATAGAAAATCATGAATTCGAACCTTGAATCTCCGGATTAAATCAACTGTACTACGCAAAATCAAACTTTTGTTTGCCACATTTCAGCTTGTCTTTGCGAATGAATGAGTTGATTCATAAGGTGATGAACTGTTATAACATATATAGGAATGCCTATCATCTTACATGCATGAAAGTAGCTCACTCCCTATTTTCAGAGGAAGAGATGATTGGTTAGTTATATGTGCACATATTCTAAACACATATATGGTTTTTGGGTAGTTGTTATTGTAATAAAAACTTCTGTTTTGCAACATATATATATATATACCTGGCTGAGTTCATTAATTTATGCTGTCAAATGTACCTACATGTCATATCATATGGTTGGTTACTAATTAATTAATAAGCTATGAAAGGTTGAGTTTTTTAGATATAATAAAATATGGACCATAGATTGGTTGTACGTTTTCCTCTTTGGTTTTATACAATAACATGTATAAAAGGTATAATTTAGACCATATTTATGTACTAGTGCTAGGTATCATGGTGATCAAACGTGTCTAATATATAGAGCTTTCATACAGCTGCCCAACTCGTGACATAACAGGCTCTTTCATTGGGAGTTCGGTTGCATATAGACTACCGTTCTTTATTATTGTCAGTTTTATATTGTTGTTGTTCCACCATGCCCTATAGACTTATATTGGATAAAAAAAACGTGTCTAATGTACCGTTTCTTTGTGTATAATGTATATATAATATAGTATTATGGTGTAATCGTATGGGATTTGACCTAATGATTATGTAGGTAACTAGAAACTTGGCCAATGATCATAGAAATGTATACTAAAGAATCAAATGGCTATACATATATGCAAAGCAGTCAAAATCGGGATTTTGATCGTAAAATCGTAGGATTTCAGGATTTTACATAGGGATTCCGATCCTGATTTTACTATAAAATCGGTGGACCTTAAAATCGTTTAAAATCGGGATTAAAATCGTTAAAATCGTAAAATCGTACCAAAATCGGGATTTAAATCCTATGAAAACAAAATAGGTGGTTATAGCAAATTTAAAAAAAGCGAAACTGCTTCGGCGGAAAGGGCAATGATGGTGATCTTCTCATATATTTTTCCTATTAAAATATATTTGAAAAGAAAAAAATAACAAAATGATGGCTCTATTAATCCCTTTCCCTTCGCCCTTTTGATTTCATCCGTATAACAATTGTCCTAATATTGTACGTATGTAAGAATTAAAATCATTATTAAATACTTAATTGATTAATGAATATAATTGTACCAATCCACTAGCATTAATTATTCGATTTGAGTTCATTTATTCTTAGTTTTAAATCACGATTAGCATATGATGTTGAAATTAACCGTGTTGGAGTACTACTTTGAATTAAACTACCTAGATGAAAAACAAGAGCCAAGCCCCATGAGCTCTATCCGTTGTGTTATTAATGATTTACCTTATTACTTGTATTATATGTTAGTTTCAACAAGGAACTTAAAATCCTACGATTTTACGATTCGATTTTACGATTCCGATTTTACCCTAGTTTTCGATTTTAGGTAAAATCCCGATTTTGACTGCTTTGCATATATGCCAAATATAGATAGGCCAATGAGTTAAGACAGGCTGGAGTACTTACTTAAAGAATAAAGATAGTAGACATTGGTCCGGGTGACTGAACATTTCCAAAAAAACCTAGTTAGTGAAGCTTTGTTATAGACATATTAGTCGGTTCGATTTTATTATAACCCTAATCATTCATCCGGTTATCAGTTAACTATTAATCAATTTACGCTCACAAATAACTGTATTGTTTATGATGGTCGGTTAATCGACTAACTGGTTAATTAACAAGTGATTCCTATCTGTTAGTCCGAAATAATTTATCGATTATCTAGTAGTTTTTGAAAATTTCTCTTATTGGAATCTTTCGCTCTACCATCATCACCTCCAACGCACAAATGCAGAAGATTAACTCATATTTGACTCTACACTCCTACATTTTAGAGACAGGATTGAGAGGTTTCGATGTGGAGGTAGGTTAGAATTTGATTAGTGGCTCGGTCTTTGGAGAGAGGTAGCATTAGTGATTTGGGTTTGATTTGTTATTCCTATTGGGACTGAGAGAAGGAAGCGAAGAGAGGGATGAGAAGAGTGATAAGTGTGAACTGGTGAGGGAAGCTATTGATGGAATAAATTGATGTGTGGTTTTTTCAATCTTTCCTCCAACGGAAGCCATCTAATCTTCCCAGACCAATCTTGATGCCTACATTGCAATCGAAAAGTTAGTGATACTCTTTGCCTCTTTCAATTTTAGGGTTCACACATGGAGTAAATTGGAGAAAGAAGAAGCTCGGGTCCGAATGAGGAAGAGATTGTTCATTCAAAGCTAGAAGTTTTTTTTTGGGGGAGGGACATACCCTTTTGCGCATATAAACATATATATTTATATTCAATTAGTTGTTAGTTTATTAGTCGTTAACCGGGTATTTGACTCAGGATTAAACCAAAAGCCATTTCAGTCTATTGATAACAACACCACTAATTTATAATCGGTTAATGCTAATATAGTTACTGTCGATAATCGGTTAGTTTAATGGTGTAATTGCCAATCTGTCTATATTACCAGACTTTGCTATGTGAATTTTGGTACAAAATTTCCCCACTTTGGCAAGGATGGTTCAAATCGTTGTAACCTCAAAGATTATTTTGGTTTATGATGCCAATCATTGAAGGGAAGATTCCAGAAGAAATATAGGAAACCATAATGTAATAAAGAAGTTTTAAGGAAACATAAAAATGGGGGAAAAGACAAAGCAAATGAAAAGGGAAATGTTTTTCTATTAACAAAATAATAAGTATATATATGTGGTGCGGGAATCATTAATCAACCAAGGGTACGTTGATTAATGACCGGGTCTTATGCTGCCTTTAATAATTAGTGTATTAAATTAATCATCTAAATCTAATCCTCCTATATTTATGCACAATTAATACCATTAATTTTTGGATTCTTTTAGCAACTAGCTGTCATCTTTTCATTACCAACAACCAAAGATTATTTGTAATTTTTTTATTGGGCACACCAAAACCTTTTAATTTTTTCCTACCTTGTGTTATATTTTTTTAATGCCCCCACCTTATTTGATCGCATGATTGACACAACAAATACATTAAACTAAACGTGCAACTTGAAAGTGGAAGCATTTCCGCACAACTTGTTACACATTTAATTAGTAGCCTTTGAATTTATGTTCCTTTACTAGGTTTCTTAAATTCGTGGGTGTGAGCTATGAGTACATGTTGTATAGTATAAATACCATAACCAATATAGAAGTTGGAAGAGTCATTGATCAGGATCGAAATTGTCAATAATATAAAACATAACATATTGTGAGATCTACATTCGCATGCATTTCATCAATTTGAGTTACTTAGATACCTTGATCCTTAACATATACGAAACTTGTTTTTTATATATAGTCACTACAAAGTCTATCGCCGAAATTTTGATCATGTGACTATAGTGTGTGACTGGATAATGTAAAATGTTTAACTTTAAATATGATTTGACAAACTTCTATTTCGGATGATACATAACCAAAACTATTAATGTTATTTGTAATACCAATTAACCTAACGTATTATAAACTGGTGTTGTTCAAATATCGAATGATAAACCATAAAATACCAATGAAAAACAATAATAAAAAAAACATATCATAAAATTATAGATACTTGA